AGCAGTGCCAGAGGGGAAAGCCACGATGCTGCTGCTGGCCTTGCTAGACGGTCCCTGTAGCCTCCGCGGAGAGGGATTCTTGCTCAGAAAGGCAATTCCTGGCACTTACATTTTAATATTTTAATTATACCACCAATATGTAATGACAACAACGCAACACAACGCTACGCTTCGATCCAGATGTCCCTCTGATTAGTGCTAAACACAGATCGCCCAGGAGATCCTCCCCAGCAGGAAAATAATGTGAAAATCCACGCAAGGAAATTCCGGGGATCGCGGCACGAGGGTTGCCATAACGAGCAGCCTGTGGGGAGGTTGGCTCGAGGACGCGCTTCGGTCAGATCACGTCCCACATCCGCGTTCCCAGGGGGTTATTAAAACAGCTATAGGCCGTGGGGAAGTTAGTGCAACTTGCTTCATCCCCACACTATAGATTTTATACGTATAAATTATATATTTACGTCCAAAACTCTATTATTCATAAAGCTGAGTAAACAAGCATTGATTTTTACACTGTAGCATGGATGGGTATTTCTAATGATCCAGGGGCTCTTACGGCCTCGCTAGCTCTGACCTCATCCGCGCTTCCGGAGCGCAGGATTTAACATGGGCCATGGAGCTGCGGAACCAGGCGGCTGCCCCCGTTTCCAAGGGAAATCAATGAACGCTCCTTTCTGAATGGGCAGCTTTTCCACCGCTCCGCGTCACGCGCGTCCCGTCCTACCGCCGCAAATCCGGGTTTACGGATACGCGATACCATCGCAGGGCTCATAACCAACCATCCGGGAAAGCCCCTACCATTAATATGTGAGCTTATGTCAAAACTACTCTCTGCTAAACTCGATATTGCTGTGCACACATTTAGGGGTGGGAAAAACTCCCTTTTTTACTGGCATTTTCTAGTCCGACGTATTGGGGAGGTTAACAAAAATCGCCTACTTCATAGCTAACTTTGCTATATTGAAGCAATGTACAAGTTCCTTATTGGATTTTTATGACAGATAAAATTGACAGAGAAAATCACTAGGATATACTTAAAAATGGGAAGGAAATGTACATTTACAATAAAAAGGTCTCTGAAGGTCTCGTGTTTCATAGGAAGGAAGTTGTCTTTATATTGCATGAACTATAAAAAATGATTAAAACTGGAGAGAGACAGGAAGCTGATAATTTGATTTATCATCTTAATGGCTATGATTCATGAATAAATAATATAATGGTTTATGTCTTTCTTGTAAAAGAAGTAGAGAAGGGCAATTTGTCTAATAAATGACTTCAAAAATTACAGCTGAGTCTTGTTTGCCACATTTGTTCTATTTAAAAAGAATGAGTGAGTATCTTATTTCTTATTACTTACTAGGACATTTGTTGTATTATTTATAAGAGTCAAAAACCTTAACTAAAAGCCACTCATCTCTGACCACAGTCTCCCATTAGCTTTAAATTCAGGAAAGAGAATGGGATTGATCACTAGATCAATAAATCTAACCTTAGAGCTGACTAAAAGCTTCCTCTAACCTCCTTCCTACAGCATCCTTTTTCAAAATTAAAGTATCCCCCTTTTTAATTATTTAAGAGTATGTCAATTTTGCAGTAAGGCCCCGTATGACTGCATCATAGAGGGAATTCTCTTTTATACTGGAATCACGGCAACGTGAGGAAGGCCTTTAAGTCATCATTCTGATTTTTTCTCAAGTTAGATGTTACTAAAGATACACGAAGCCTGTTCAAAATGTGCCCTGGATTTCATTAAGACGACTGCTGAGCATAGGAAGATCAAGAAGAAATATGTACTCCCAGGTACTGGCCACTCTAACCACCCCAAATCCATCACGGATTCTGCGGGAGCTGCTCTGCACGGATGGCGTCAAGGCTGCGACTCGCCGTATTACAGAGCTGTGCAAAGGCACTTCAGGCTAAAGCGAACTGCCCAGAGCACAATTCGCTAACGACGGCTGGAATTGCTTCCAAACTACCTGGTAGGAATAGGACGGGCTCCAGCTGCAGCCTAGGAGCCTGAGGAGAGCCGGGAGGAGAGCGGCAATGCAGACGCTGGGGCTGCTTTGTGCGGGCGCCGCACGGGCTCTGCTCCCAAACCCTCCAGCCCCGTCGCAGGCGGATTCCGACCGCCGGCGCCACCCCCAGCAGCCAAGCTGCTCTCTCCTCCAGCCGGGACACGCAGACCCTTTCCCATTATCCTGGGAAAACCAAGGCAGGAGCAGGTCAAGCAGCCCGACCAGGGGGAACATCTGGATACGTCTCGGGAGAACTTGGATTAGAAGTTTGCAGCCTGTTTCCAAGGCTAATTTTCTACGAGGCTTCAGCACTTAATTTCAGGACACACTTCAGACAGCTAATGCAAGGTGTAACACTGCATTCATTGAACAGGACTGCAAAGACTGTTGGTAACACGGAGAGGAAAACTCTCCATTCCTGGAATACGGAAAAGTTAGACTGCAAGGTTATTTCAAAAAATAATACAAAAATTGTAGACTTCATGTATCAATTTAAAAATATGCTTTTAAGCAAATAAAGCATTTGAGTTCTTATGTTTCATGAGAAAGAGTTATACACAAAATGCACATATACACAGAGTTCAGAGTGTCAGAAGGCACAAAAGAATTTAAAAAAGAAAAATCACACAAGTAGGAACTGGACAAATGAACCAGGCAAAAACAGGGTGAACTTTCACAAAATCCTGTTCATCAACTTTTTCCTATGATTCTTTCTATGATTTTTCTGTGATTTCTATGATTTCTCTGAACAAATGCCATTAATTGTCCCCCAGTCAAAAGGCACTATTTTTAGACGTGTAACACCTTCCTCCCCCAACTGCTATATTATGAAGGTCTCCTAAAATTGGAGTGCTCGGGCTTTTTTTTTGGTAAGTGCTGCACCCACAGATGTCAAAACAATGTAGGCTGCATTGAGAAAGACACTGAAATCACAGCACGTTGGGGAACAGCCCCCAAAAAACCTTCTTCAATGGCCCTTCCTTCTCAAGGGACGAGATGTTTGCTGGGCTTGAAGTCATTGGGGGCTTGAAGTCATTTAGGAACTTTTAAGTTCCTAAATAGATAAAACTTTTTCTTGGCTGAAATCTAGCTTTTGTGGTCTTGGCCTAGCTAAAAGTTTAAGAAAGTTTTAATCAAGGAGACTGCGAATGTCTCAAAAAATCATCTAAAAAGTCAGATTACCATTTTTTTTTTGTATTGTGACAGTAAAAGCCACAGGGTCCCATTCTACCATGACAGACCCAGCAGAAAACACACGAAGATCATACCTGCTATTTGTCACCTGCATGTTTGGAAAACTGCAGTAGGAGCTAGAGGATTTCCTAATAGCAAGTTGTTCTTGACAAAATGCAATTTATGCAAAAAGTCAAGTTGGTTGAATGGAAGCACCAGAAGGAAGATATTAAAAAAAAAAAAAAAGAATAATCTTGTATGTAAAATGAGTCATACAATTATCCTCTGCACGTGGGGGAAGCAGGATCTCAGCTGGTCTAAACTGTTATAAGCGTATCAATAAAGCTGTGCTGATTTACAGCAGCTGAGAGTTTGTCCTGTAGTGTATTCACCCACATGCGATGTGACAGATTGATGTGCTAGCATTTTCTCCCTGGAGACTTTGCTTCTAACCTATTTAAAACAGGGGGAAAAACTGGCTGGTCTCTAAGCAGATGTCCCTGAAAATCTGTTTATATCGCAGTGCCACGATGGTGGACAGAGGTGGGACGGGACATCCCCAGGGAGCTGCGCAGCAAAAGCCGCTCTGCAACTCCCCAAACCCAACCTGCCGCATGGATTTGCTGTCCATGAACCCAGCGGATCCCTAGAAATGGAGATTAAAATACTCAAGAATTGCTTTAGCTCTCGCAGCACTCGGCCTTCACTCCGGGAGCAGGGATGTGTCGTGCTGGACTCCCTGGCTCCTGCCCACGGAACTGCTGGATTTGATGGGATCTACTGCATGCGTAAAGCTAAGCGCATCCATAACTCTGCAGGGCCAGCAGGCTCCATTTCAAAGGAATTTCAAAAGGATACCACATCCCACTGGGATGAGAGGAGAAGGAACAAGATGGTTATTGCAATTACAACCCCTTCATTGTGTATAATCCTGAGGGACAAGTTCTGGAAGAGGAGACAAGTGAAGACACCCGGGTGAAGGCAATGGAACCGCAGGTCACTGCTGCGTCCTGCAGAGCTGTTCTCATGGAGCCGGTCTGGAAAGCACTACAGCTTCTTGCCTCATCCTAGGTGCATTCCCAGGGGGATTTTACCAATAATTCAGCAGATCTGACCCCCCATGTAACATACGTAATGCATTTTCCATGCATAGTTTTCTGCACGTGGAATTTGAAAGCAGGCAACTCGAACACATGCTACCCAATGCAAGCCAAATCTGCAGACTTTTCTTCTTTGAACTGTAATTGTTAAGAAAAAATACTTACAAAGTAAGAAAATCATCCATCATTGCTCCAGAATCAACAGTGCAAGATCAAATGGTTTAATAAATACAAATGGTACTAGATTTTTAAGGAAATACCTTCTTTCTCACCTCCCTATTCCATCCTTTACTCTTTCAGATGCAGCCCTTACAATGAAAACCAAGTATTTCATGTAATGAAATAGTAACAAGCATAGAAAGGACATCCTGAAGTACCAAGGCCAAGACCCATCCATCACAAGCAACTATGCCACATTATCCCTTCCACACACTGATCAAATTCCAGTTTACAAGTAGTTCATTTTTTATTGCTGATACACAAAAAGCTGTTCCAGAACTTCACTGCTCTGGTGATCATGAGTTTCCCTCCTGCCAGCCAAAAAACACGACCAGTTTATGTAATGCTTGTTCTTGTGCTAAACGTGGTCCTTAACTTGAACTGCTCTTCCCCTCCCTGGTGTTTAGTCTCTCGATGTATTTATAGAAAGATCCTATCCTCTTTCAAGCTTCATTTTCCTAGGAAAAGTAAAATTAGAAATAGACTGATGAATTTACTGTGTTTTAGACACACATACACACACACAGAGGCTTGAGTGCTCATTTTAAAAGAAATGCAGAAAATACAGATGAGTCAGTCTTTAGTTGAGTGCATTATTTCAAACATGTAAGCAACATATGCAAATTACAATATAAAAGACAGATTGAGTTCAAAACTGATTTTTAAGGTTTTTAGATCTAAAGACTATCCATCTATAGAAATACCAGAAAGCCTACCTGAAATTCCATAAAACTCTAGATTGGGATCAGTACCAAAAGCCCACAAAGATCATTTCTTAAAAAGAGAGGTGGGAAGACTCAAAGTACATTTGGATAAAAATGCCTTAGGCAGAGGCTAGTTTGGGTTATAAATAATCTGCAAGAGAAGAAAATCAAACTGCCATTAAAAAAAACCTAAAAGGAAGGCGAGACTGGACACGCTATTCCTCTGCTTAGAGACAATTTCATTCTTTCATAAAAATATTTTCTAGCTTTGCTGCTCTGGTACATCGATTCGGAGTACTCTGACTTTCGATTTATAATGATATTCCTTCAGATAGAGCTTCACTGAGGGAGGAATAGGAAGTGCATCGATACCATCGTAAGTTGTGCAGTTGCAAATAACTGTTCTACATATATGTTGGAGGGAGAAAGGAAAAGTCCTGTTCAAGGGGGTGGATAAAAGCGGTTCGAAGAACATACAGGAGCTGGGATCTTTATAGTGCTCTAAGAGTCCCGTGATGTCGGGGGAGTGGAAGACACAGGGGTCGTGGGCATCGAAGCTGAAGTTGTGGTTCCACTGCTCTATCCGCGCGTGCAGAGAACGGCTGTAGCGCCTGAAGCTCACAGAAAATAAATAGTCTTCTTGGGCAGAATCTCGTAGTAAGAACGTTCCCTCTGGCTTGCCCTCCAGCAGGGCCTCGGCTGCGTATTTATCCATGACTCCCCAGTAGCAGGGGTTGTTATTGATCTGAAGGAGGTCCGGGACCAGGCAGTGGACGTAATCGATCTGCGTGTGGTATTTAGGAGGCGTCTCCATCCGCAGCAGCTCATCATCCGTCTCCCATTTGGGCTTGTTTCTTTTCCTAGAACTCGTGCACAGGGTTATGACGTCCTCGTCGGAGTCCATATCGCTCTCGTCCTTCCCGCTCCGTCCTGCTTTGCCTGGGACCAGCTCGGCCCTGGAATCGGCCCTGGAAGAACTGCTGTCCGTCAGGTCACAGGACGAGGAAGGAGAGTCCGTTCCCGCTCCCGCAATCTCATCGTCCCTCAGCTGATCCTCCTTCTCCTCACTCTGGGACAAATCTGCAATTATCCACTCCTCTGCTTTCTGACTTATAGGGGCCGTATGTCTTTTAATCAGGTGCCACCGAAAGGCTAGCTCCGAGCGCGGCGGGAAGGGACACTTATCTAGCATTAACTCACTGATATGGATTTTCCTTTTCGACGGGAGCCCGGAGCCGTGCCGGCTGCTACAGTTCTTTATGGGAAAGCACTGGCCCACGGCGTCTTGCAACTTCTGTTTGAGAGAGCGGCCTAAAAACCTGTGTCCACAGGAGCGATCGAGATCCAGCTCGATGGAGGAGCAGCTGAACTTCCTCTCCTGGCTTCTCAAAGCGGCCCCTGGCCTTCCTGCAGCGCTTGCTGCCTCGGCGTCGGGGCAGTGCTCACTCTTCTTTGACCAGGAGAGCTTCTTTCCACTCCAGACATAACCATCCTTCCTGTCTGCGCTTCTGCTCCGGCTGCTTTTGGGCCTCACGTCTGCATTTTTAATATGACTGTCCTTGTTTTCTGCCATTGTAATAGTTTGGCTTCACAGGTTTCCAAAAAGTGCTCTGTGTTTTTCTCGTAGGGTTTCCTATAGCAAGAAGCTTCTTTGAGACTCTGTCCAGAAGTCCCTAAATAAAAAGAAAACACGACCAAGTGAACAGCTTTGCACACCCACAACATGAGACCCATGCAGGTGCATACGGGATAATGATATATATACATAATGACAACGATTGATTGCTGCTAACCACATAAAAATAAAAAGATGGAGGCAAATTCTTTAGGGGCACAGTTCACAGATACTGGCCTGATCCCGACCAAGGCTCTCTGGACCCTTCCTTATGAGAGTACCCTGCAGAAGGGATCCCCTGGTGTGTTTCTAAACAGGCATTCTGAGCACACAGCAGGGCAGAGAGAGGCTGGCAATCACCTTCAGCAAGGGGCCACTGTAAAACGAGGCACTTTGCATAGTGGGTGATGCTGCTTCGGTTCCTTAGTGAGCAAATTCTGCATCTATTTCAAATAACCCTTCAAGAAGGAACAAGCCAGAAGAGAAACAAGTAGGTCAGAGTACAAAGAGCTACTGTACCTGCATGATATGCCTGTTTGTTGCTAATCCACAAAGGGGGATGCCAGAGAGCTTATTCTTAACTGACACTTTTGGGTCGCTTTCTGGTTATATATATGTGTGTGTGTGTGCATATATATATATATATATATGTGTGTGTGTGTGTGTATATAAATTATCAGTCACAGACTCCGACAATTTTTGAAAGCTGTTTTCATTTGCTTTTTAAAATGAAGCTAGAAAATACTGAGCCCCTAAGGGATTGAAATAGCTAGGGCTTTACATACTGAAAAGGATTAAAACAAATCCAGATCTCTTACTAAAAGCAATTTAAAAAGGCCATGAAAGATGGAACTGCTTATTACTCATTAGAGAAGAAAGTTTACATTATTAAAATCAGCGCTGCTCTGAGACCTACGGGCACTTATTTCCTTTGCTTTTGTTTCCAGAAGGGCATTGAATTCTCCAGCAGATGAAACCTTTCCTTTTGAATGCTGACTTTCTAAAAAGAAAAAAGAAAAAAAATCCTCTTTGAGCACTCAGATGAAAGCACAGCAGACATTTTTCAAGGCACCTAGCAAGATGCTCCGTATGCTGCACCGCCCCGAGGCAAAGCAGAAGGCAGAAAGACTTTCCATCATCAGGGGGTTTCTGCAGCAAAATGAGATACGGTTCCTCTCTCCGCTTTTATTTTAATTATCGAGATGGGAAATAGTAAGCAGGGGAAGAAAAGGGCATCCACTTCCTCTCTCCATTCAATCCATTGTCATCGTGGGGATTAGCCGCCGTCCCCGAGGCGCTGGGGGAAAGGAGGAGTGGGAGCCAAGCGGCTCCCGGCGCCCCGGGCTCCCCACGTGCAACTTGTGCTCACGCAGTTTGGACGTTAAATTCATCATGTGGAACCCATGAACCTGGGAGCTGCCGACGGAGGGAAGAGCAAGGGAAAGGGAGGAGATACGGCAACGCGGAATGAGGGAAGAGAGAGGCAAAATATTACAAATATGCGGGGAAAAAAAACGCACTGGGAGAACCTAGCTGAACAATACCTTGCTGGTCCCAAGTGGAAGCAAAGAGTGGAACCATATTTCAGCAACTATAGATTATCTAATATAAATAACATTTTTCTCCTCTCTCAAGGTTTGACACATCAATTCTGAGTGAAAACATTGTAGGAAACAATATAGACTGGAGAAGGACAATATAGAAAACTTTATTTAGACCAAGATTCATTGACTGCTCTTGTAAGTCATATTTTTCGTTCAGAAACAACTATAGTGGAGCACCAAATTACTTCACGGTGATTAAAAGGAGAGAAAAAGCAATCTCATTTACCCTGGGTATCTTTATCTGGAGTAACTGCTGAAGAAAAAAAGCTATTCTAGATTCATCCTGTGGTAAATGACATTAACTATATATATGGGAGTTCTAATTGGAAAGAGAGATATCATTTAGGTTGCAAGTCAAGTACTTAAAAATTAGGATATGACAGTTTGTAATTGCTTTTGAAACCTTCAATTATCTCACTCTGCACATCCAGCCCATATAAGGAATAGGAATATGCAGAACACGGGCTGGTAATTAAAAACTGTAAAACGTACAAAACCCCGAAGTGCTGAAAACAGTTTTGTTCCTAAGTCTGCTCTCTCCTACTTCAGGCAGCTCGGCCTTGCAACTAAAACAATTCCAACCCTGGGTGTCGTTCCCAGGTTTTGCTGCTGCATTCCATGGCGAAGCCGTGCTCGGCCGCGTCCCTTTTCCGCAGCGGGAGCGGTGTCGGAGCGCGGCACATGACGCGGGGGGACACGCACCATTAGGCAGCGCCACAGCAGGCCGTGTCCCCGGGGTTTGCTGGAACGGAGGCACCAAAGCTGCTGGGTCAGAGGAGTAATTGTTAATCAGATTTAGCATCTGCGAAAAGAGTGCAGAATAAATGAAGCCTATTAGAGCCAGTGCTGAGGGCGAGTTTGCAAAGAGAGGATGGGGGGCAAAGGCTCGGTTTCCAATCCTGCTACGGACCTCGTTTGCAATCCAAGGCAAGCTGCGTTTGGGAATGCATCTTCCCTGCATTTGGGAATGCAGCTTCCCTGTATTTGGGCACTCGGAAAGAAACAGGGACCAAAAATCCTTTGGGTTTTGGAAAGAAAAGACACTAAGGACATGGAAGCATTCAGAAAATACAGTGCCATATGACCGCTTTCAGGCCATCTAAACCATGTGCTCCTTAACTGAAAACTTTTAAAGAAAATATGGCACATTGTGCGCCCATTAATGACAACTGAAAGAGCAGGGGAGGACTAGAAAGAAAGGGAAATAAAGGAACGTTGCCGCTGCAGGGCAATGGTAAATGCAGAAGCCATTTGCTGTACAACTTATGCACGTCAGCTCCAGGAACTCTCCTTTCGCAAAAAGCAAAGGGAAAGGCCTCTGGTAGAAAAGGACACAGATTAAGCCTGGAGTCCTCTGCCTACAAAAGCTTTCTTGTAAGCATGGATACTTTGGGCATTTCTGAAGCAGATTTGACAATTACGCTCAAAACTCTTGTGCCTAAACAAAGAGAAGACAAATGTGCAGGAATAAAGTGAGTTCACTTCAGGCCAGGGGATCCGGCTGCAGTTCAAGGGGCTGGCTGCAAGGAGCAGCCAGAAGGCACTTCCAGCTGCATCCCAGGTCTATCTGAATCACAAAGCATCCAGCAGCTCCAACAGCAGCAAATCTGAATCTCTAGCCCGGTACCTCCAATTCCTTTCCATTAAGCTCCTTCAGCTTCTGTACAATGAAAAGAAAGGGAAAACCACAGGGACCCTGAAGTGCTGTTGGAAGGGAGCGCAAGAGGTCTGCTTGGAGCAGGACTAGCCCAGGGGAGCCGCGGCTTTGCCTAGAAAAGCCTTGAAAAGTCCTGGAAACCTCCAAGAATTACACCTCTGGCTAAACATGGGAGGCATACAAAGACCAACGAGTTAATTGGGGAATTGTATCAGAACTTAATATTCTTTCTAGAAACTGATAGCACATGGAGAGAGAACAGCAAGGGGCAATGAACTGCAGAGCTTCCTCTCTGAATAGTCTGCATTTTTCCACTCACTTTTCATTAGGGTATTTAGTTATTTGTCTTTCATCTTACATAAAATAGTCATTAAAAAAAAATCTCACCGATCACATGCTGTTTTCATTAATTTCACCCAATTACATTTTGGCCACAAGACCACATTTTAAAGCCTGACCTTCCATTGGAGTTGAGCTATTATTGACTTATTTTGGAAAAAAGCCCAGCCTATTAAGGGTAACATTAAACCTTCCTTCCTTTTATCTCAACATATTTTTCTCAGTTTTGACTACGTTTATTTTGATTTATGACACCGAGTCCAAGAAAACGCCTAAGCTCGACTCCCGAGGTCCCTGCAGCACCTTAAGGAAATAATCACACACAAAATGAGACAATTACTGCTTGCAGACAGAAATAACAACTCACGGCGCTTCCCACCGGCACGGCGGGAGGAGAGGGCGCGCGGCCATGCCCGGCACGGGGGCCCAGTTATCCACATCCAGGACGCGGGAATGACGGGGAAACAGGTTCAAGGTACCTCTGGCTTGAAGGAAACTCCGTTTAAACGCTATAGGAGCTCTCAGCATAGCGCTCAGCAGACGGCAGCAGCCTCCGGAGGAGCGGGGACGTGGAGGATTTACAGCCGGTGACCGGGATGTGACGCTCCACCCCGAAACCTAATAGGTGAGTGGGATGGACAAGGGCTCCCGCCCTGCGCTGCCCTCTCCGTAAGCTACACCTATTAATAAAGGAAACCACCACATCCCGCGGAAGCTCTAGCGTACGGCTGGACAAATTAAATCTTGCAGGAGACAAAGATGGAGCATGCCCTCACCCTAGTCCCATGGGAACGCCCCGAGCTCCCGCCAGCTTTCCTAGGAATCACTGCCAGGAGTTATTCCAGCAGGTGGATTCACGGTAACACCTCCGGGCTCCGAATCCGCTCGTATCACAGCACGAATCTTATTACAGCTTTCGCATTGCAAAGTAATTCAGGAATGGGTTGCGCCAGAGAACCTGCATGTTAAAAGAAGGAATTTGCAAGGAATACCAGCTTGCCTCGGAGCCCGGAGCTGGCAGTAAGGGAGGGAGCACTCCGGTGCCCTCACCGGGATTCGCAATTTACTGAGACGTGTCAGGATGCATCCCTGGAAAACGTCCCTCATGTCCCTCACGCAGCTTCCATGGGATTTAGTAATGAAACCGCTCACGTTAAGAAAAAAGAAGGGAAGGAGGGAGGTAAGAAGGTGCCTACTCCGTGATCCCGTCACTTACTCATGGAAGGACGGGCAGTGACTCCTATCAAGGACCCGACTGCGTTTCCAACACAAACAAATCACCCTGCTCAGCCCAGCCACTGATAACTCCCCCGCAGACCAGAGTGAAAATCAAAGCGATTTTCCTGGAAGCAGATCTTCTTGGAAGCAGGAATAAATGGGGACGGGTCATAAGAGTGCCATAAAGGAGGCGCAGAACTCCCCTTTTTCCCCTCTTATTTCAGACACGCCAAGCTCAAACCCTATTTGTCCTCCAAGAAGCCCTGCATGATGCTTTCCTCCTACTTCTCAGCATGTTAAAAAAAATAAAATAAAATAAACATCATTTGATGGTAACAAGGATCCAGATTCACCAAGGACCTGTCCCTGACTCGGAGTTTTCCTGCAATTCTCATACCCGATAGGGCCCAAGGCTAAAATACACCCCTCTCTCTGTATCAATACATGTATGTGGAGATACATATTTATACAAAACATAAAGTACATACACAGACACATACAAATACAGAACACATAATTTAGACCTACACAGTTTGCATACTGTATACCGCACTTTATATTCTGAGGGCTACACATGCAAGCAATGCATGCACACTTTTTCACCGGGGAAAGAAAAAAGAAAGAAAAAAAAGTGACGATTCATTCATGCAATCGGGCCAGAAAAGAGCATCGCGACTTAAACCGGCACCGAAGGCGGCGCGGGGGGCGCCGGGGGCCGCGTCCCTCCGCGCCCGGCCCGGCCGCTCCGCG